CTGAGTGAGGTGTAGTCACCGTAAAAGGTACGAGTGATGTACAAAATTAATCTTCAATAAATAAATCCTTTAGTTGATTACCACTTGTCACGCAGCTTTGTGTTGCTACTCTTTCCGCCGCTGTTCGGTCAAGAAAGATGGACTTTTGTACCTAAAACGCAGTGATATGTTCAGTGGCTGATAATCTTAAGGTTTGTACGGGGGTTCCAGCTTTCACTTATTATGGTTTGTTTTGAACTAACGTATTTTGTCTTACGCTCATGGTCGCGTAATAGAAACCACTGAAACTTACACTGTTCCTCAACCAAACTTTTTTTGTTATTATTGCCTTTAGTGTCTTGCTTCTTGAAAGTATGTGCTGTAACGACTTACGTAACGAATTTATATAGGTAGGAAGTGTGACCTAAATTTGGATGGTACTCATGATTTCTTTTGTCCGACAAGATCTCAGTCCAAACGAGCATTTTGCGTTAGGATCTTCTTTCCTTCTTGATCAAAGTTATATTTTGAACATCTGATCCGAAGTCAGTTTCTAGAAGTGTGCCTCGCTTGAACAGATAAAATGAGTTTTCAATTTAGGAAACATTTGGTTAGATGTCTCGAAACTCCAGTAATCAAAAAACAAGAAAAATCATATACAAAGCCATTCAACTTCATAAAAATAAAACTGTTTAAAAAATGGTTTCTTTTGGATAAGGTTCTGCCAGTCAGGCTTGCACCATTGGTCAACGGTTAATCAGTGAGTCTTCGAACCGCCAATAATCGATCAGTTCTTTTCTCGCTCGGAAAGCGACTGACTCTCCTTAACCTTCGCTAAGACTTGAGTTCAAAGTAGGTAGCAAGTCAACGTCCTCAATATGCCAGAGCGCGAGGTTACAGGCCATTGAAGGGCACAGCGCTCCAGCTGCTGAACAATTCAACTCCTTTGATCAAATGTTACAAGGACTATCGAAATCTCGCAGACCAAGATGAGGTAAAAGTTAATGGATTTTTTACCTGCAATTTGAAGATTTATGGATTGAAAAATTGGTGGTGGTTTATCATCGAATAAGCATCTGTTTGATCTTTCTAAAATAAAATAGGATTTCTTCTGTTCTGCAGTTGGCACCCGCTAAGAACAGGACGTTTTGGTCATTTTTCTGCCAATAAAGTAAGATTAAGCGCCATGCTGTTTTTTCGATGAATCTATGATTCAAGTAATGAGGCATTTCCAACGTCAAATTTATACGTTAACATTTTTAGACTAGCAGATTTCCTTCAGGAGAAAGTTTTTCAAAAATTTGAACCATCTCATATATTTACTTATTGTCTTAAGATTGTTTTATAATTTCGATTTTTTTAAAATGGAATCAGAAAGTGCACTACGACGTTTCGATCCAAACCAGGATCGCAGCCCTGATAGCCATTATAAGAGCAATGATTTTCTTACCTTGCATTGACAATGGGTTCTCGTGCAAGCAATTTTATAGCGATCTCCGTTGCCAAACAGCTGCGAAGGAGCTACCGCAGAATTGCTGACTCAAAGACAAGCAGAGCATTGTGGCTTTCAATCAGACTGAATCATCTTTCCATCTTGTTGATTTGAGAGCTGATGTCAGTCCTGTCACAAGCGGAAAGTTGTCATTTGTGTAATTCATGAATGGTTTTAATGACCCAAAACACGTGTTCGGCAATCTTCACGCGCCGCTGCTTCCAAGCTACGCGTCAGAACTGACTATGGAAGAGCAATGAATGGCACACTCGACCCCCATTGTATTGCTATAAAAATGCTTTAACTAGCTGATGCTGGATGCGACCGCCGTGCCCAATTCAGCGTCCAGCTTGGCTATCTCTAAAAAGAGATATTCCTGTAGTACCAGATGGGTAGCGACATTAACGGCTACGCATTTAGTTAACAGTTTCATTGGTTGTTCATCATTTTGTGTTTTCTAGAGCCGGACTGATTGTACATGGTAACCTAAAAAGCGTATCATATAAAGTGTACCTTCCCTTGACAGAACATCTTACCTTTGTGACAGTCGTTACCAGCGTTTCAATCCATTCAGGCATACCTTAATGCATTAATGATGTTGAAAGCTTTCTTACCCTAGGGAACAATGACAGCATCATACTCGAATTATTGCTCGATGCCTCTACTTCAAAATTTGTTCTCCATTTAGTTTGCGCGGAAAGCAACTTCG